CACACACACACAGATATACAAAAACAGCTACTGTAACATAACACTCACACATGCATGCACATGCATTCAGAAAGACAGACACTGCTATGCATTTTAATAATCTGGATAGCATATGCTCCAAGACTTTTTCATGGGAATCTGCGAGAGTAGCACTGGGAATCAGGAGAGGTATAACAGGATTGATATTGAGCCAGGGCTGTAGGCCGTTGCCATTGAATTTCCCTCCACCACAGATGAAAGTAGCAATGGAGGTGGAGGGTGGGATGCAAGTCTTCCAGCTGTTAAATTCCTCCAACCTTTTTGATTTGCTTTCCAGCAACTGCAAGTCTCAGGTGGCAGATTCCCCAGTTTATGAGCCCTCGCGTTGCATCTCTCCTCTCATGTGTGCAGCTTTGTGGCCTGACAAACTTGCGCTCTTTCCAACAAATGAATTTTAAGGCGCTTTTGTCAGTTCAGTGGAGAGTGGAGGAGGAAAGTCTTAACACACCTCAAAGTGTTAGCAGCACATCCAATACCATTCTTAAAACAGTATCCATCAGCACTATATATTGTCTTATTATCAACACTTAAAGGTGCAGTAAACATGAACCCATTCATGGTTATCCTGCGTTATATGATAGGAGTATGAACCTCATGTAGCCACAGTGTTTTACGTTCTATTAAGCAGTTTTATTTCTGATTAAAACTGTTGAACAGGGCAAAGTAATGCTTGGATTTTGTGGTTTGGGGAATGTGATATTATTGCTTTTGAAAGAGGAGATGGGTGGGGCTGTAGTCAACCTCAAGAGGAAAGCAAAGGTACCTGCATGTCATAGGAGATTGAGCAGACGAAAGGGAATGCTTTGCTTTGATGTAACATAACTGTATTCGGCAAAAAATAGTAAAAAAAAAAAAAAAAAAAGAAGAAAAAAAAAGAAAATCTACAATTGTAAATATATTCACAGAAAATTTTATTAAGCTTTATTTTTGTCTTCTTCTTTATTTTGAATTTATCATCCATGTACTTTGCACTTTTTTGTGTGCTGTGCTCATCACCAGCCTGTGTGGGTTCTGTGTGGTTGGCTGTTTCTCTTGACTGCATTGTTTCGATGTCAGGGGGAGAGACACTCAGCGCGGCGTTACTAAAGGGAAATGTAAGACACTTTTGTTTTCTTTAATCTCATCTGTTTTTTCTGCCGTGGCTTCTCTTTTGGTTTTGTAAAACAGTACAGAATTTTTTTTGTTTGTTTGTTTGATGAAAACAATCCATGTAAATATCACAAGTAAAAAAAATGTATATTTTTACGACTTTTGAGTTATTACTCTTTCATTTGCAAATAAAATATTCAATGACAACTTAACTGGTCTTGTGGCATCTTTATTTGGATTTTGAAAATAGAAAACGAGAGTATACAACCATATATTTAAGTGAAACATAAACAGTGTGAGTGAAAGAGTAAAACATATATTTTTTAATTACAATTTTGGTAAACATTTCCTTTGCATTGGGTTCGGGAATTTATTATTGTTGCTCAATCTCTTCTGAGCTGATGTTGGTGTGTATGTATGTATGATGTTGATGGGAAGGGACAAGGTCAGAGCCTCTTTCTTTCATACTCTGTAAGGTATATACGTATTTACATAATAACAAATTCAGTCAACGTGAGTTGGCTGACTGATCTGAAATTTGACGGCTGCCAAGAAGCATTACATTGTTGACCTACTTGTCAGAAAAATCAAACCCAGAAGGCAACAAAAATAAGCAAACATGGCGGTTATTAAAAAAGCTTAATAGGAATATTTTCATTTATGCAACAAACAGGTTGGTTAGCAGGCGAGTCACAAGTATTTGAACGTCACTGGGTGCAATCGGCAGAGCAAAAGGAGAGAACAATTCCTGCTCACAATTTCTATATCAAGTTTTATTACAATGTGATTGTAATGCAGTGATGGTAAATTACTAAATGTACAATGTGAAGAAGAAGAAGAAAAAAAAGAAGAAGAAGAATTATCTTATTAACCCCCTTTGGGGGAAATTACATTTTTTCATTACATTATTATTAGACACACATTTCCGCCTCAGGATAGAGAGATTCAAATTTAAATTTGTCTGATGCGTTAATAATGGATACTTGGAAAACAACTAAAATTCCCATCAGCTTCTGCTATACGTTATGTTTAGTGCTAATTAGCAAATGGTAAACATTATACCATACATGTTAACATTGCTACAGTGCAAGCATTTAGCTCAAAGCACCGCTGTACCTGAGTACTGCCTCAGACTTCTAGTATTGTTAAATTACTGTCTTCTGTTTCTTTTATATTCATTTAAAAGTTAAAAGAAAGAGGTGCATGAAGATAGTCTATCACTTCCATGTCATTCATGGGCCTGAAGAATGTTTTCTGGAGATGCACCCAGGAAGCACTAATGAACAGGCAACCATCCGGGTCTCTTACAGTAATACATCCATCAACTTAAACATACCACATCAAAAGAATGGGCCTTTAAGGTATTTTATTTTAGATATGGGTGTCCCAATTATGTGGTCTCATGGTGGCTCAGGATGCAGAAATTGGGCAGGTGTCTCTTCTCCTTCCTCCTCACCAGTCTGTCTTGATCTCCAGCCTTTCAATGTGACACTCACACACGTGGCAGCAAGGTCAGCGAAATCTATTGACCTGTCAGGCATTTATTGACCGACATTCATCTCTTCCCTCTGAAAAGTTCTTCTTATGTTGACAACGTATTGAACTGCAAAGATGGAGTGCCTGTGTCAGCCCTGGTTAGAGAGACGGGGTGTGACTTTATCTTTGTTTCAAGGAGGCACACAAAAGGTACAGAGTCAAGAAGTCAGAAAAGTGGGTTGAACAAGTGGAAATACCGCACGTGAACCGGCCATGGGGGTTGATATAATTACCGGGGTGTTCTCCGGCATCTGTTTGTTAAGGAGTTGGCTGCAGACTCCTTGCTAGATTTACATCTGTTCAAAACACGCCATCCATACTAAGCAAGATCAAATTTTCAAGGCCAGATCACAATTCTCCACTTTCTGTTCAATGCCTCTGTGCCTATTGTTCCACATGATTAACCATGTGTGATGACACTGTCATAAACCCATCTCACCGGCATGCCCACGCGCACACACACACACACACACTTATCATGCATGCATATGCTGTACTGACTTTGTAGTTATTTGGTTACGGCTTTGACCATCAGAACACTCCAGTGTTACAGATAATATGCGTTATTTACACTTTATATAGAAATAATTTACATTTAGCTGTTTTCGTGCCTATTTAGAACACAATATTGGTGTTGCAAATCATCTAACAGCATGATGTGTCACAATTATGAATTAGCACGGACACTCACACTCTAATTAGCCCAAATACAAAAGTGGTAAAATATGTCATCACACAGATAAGAAATATTTTCGCTCTGAGCGAGCTTTGTAACCCAATTAATACCAAATCGTATTTTGCTCTTGGTCTCCCTCTGTAATCTGCAAAGTAAATACTTGTAGATTGCCACACAAGGCCCTCATAATTGAAGTCACTTATATAATTGCACCCCCTGGTGTTGACTGGGGATAGCTCTCTTGTAATCTGTGACGCTGATAGGCTCCTAATGAGATGAGAGAAATCATTAGGTTACGCACCATATAAACCACCAGTTGACATTAGTTCATCCAAAATAACCTATATAAACGAAAAAGGGGAGCCGCCGGCAAATTTTGGAACATGACGATCTAATTTCAGGAGCTGAATTTGTGTCTTTTTTATTTTTTTTATCTACGTTTGTGAGGCCTGGATACTATGTCTCTGTTTCCTGTACACTGACCTTATCATTCATCACCAGATCTCATTTCCTGCTTCCCCATATATAACTTTAACCTAATTTTACCATGAGCATTGTTTGTTAAAAAATTATAAAAGAACAAGTTATCCATTTATGTAGCAATCCACAGTGCACAGTTGTCCTATATGGCTTAATGGAAGAAAATAAAAATACAGAAATATTGTTAGTGGGTCTCCTTGGGTACAGGTAATGGACATGAGTGGCTTTGCTTAAAGCTCCCTCTGGTGGAACCTGATATGTGGACACAAGTGCAACACAATATAATGATGAATAGGAGCGCAGCAGAAGAGAGTCTACATGTTGCTTTTTCCATTTTAATAAAAAACCTTTTATCCACATGTTTCATTCATTGACCTGAGTGGCGTGAAAGCAACATATTTCAGCAATTTCTGATGGCAATAAAATCGGTTTCAATACTGTCTTCTTGAATAATTCTGTGGACTTCCACCAGTGCTTTGTGTGTCTTTGCACTGATTATCTCTGGGTAATGAAAATTGCTCTGTGACCCACATCTGAAGAATATTTCATTCTCTGACAACCACACTAATTATAGAGCTGCCATAAATTTAGATAGAGAGGTTAATAGCATGCTATTTTTGATACCGCTGCAATTCCACTTTAAAAAGTTAAGTTTCATGAATATGGACTAGGGAGAAATCATCCATTTTGTGGAGGCTGAATTGTAAACTAACTACCTGACACTGTTCTGTCTGACAGGCCCGATTATGATTGATGCACCTATGACGTCCATGATAAATGAGAGCACTCATTTACATTGTGATTCACTGACCTTTTTTAACTGAGAAAAACTGTTGCTTAACTGGAACAATTGTGATTGTGTGTTTCATGTAGAGCTTTATTAGGCTGCTGCAGGATGCGTCGCCTTTTCTGGTGCTGTGTCGAAAAAAAAACAAACGCCTGAGCACCAGCTTAGTGTTCACAGCTGACAAGATATCTTAATATTCAATGATTAAAGTATTTGATCTTCTTTATTAAACAGGGAAAGCAAGATGCATGAATATCAATTTAGTAAACTAGAATCGTAAAGCTATTAGTCCATCTAATTGAAAAATGAGGCAATTAATGATACAGTATCTTTTTAATGGAGCAAGCAAGTAAAATTAACTG